CGAGGCTCATCAACGGGAAATGAATCATTGGTGGGGATCAGCTTAGATCAGGACATACGCGAAGCGTCGGCAGCCCAAGATCTTTCACGTGTATCGCATCTTACTTACCTTCGGGCTGGGCGCCGTACTGGAGCCCGCAGACGTTCGTACTTATCACTACCAGCTACTCGACCCAGTGGTGCTGAATACTTTGAGGCATTGCAGGTAGCAGCTACTGAAGGTGGACCCCAGGCGAGCAAGGCGCATTCCAGCCTGTACATCGACAATCCCACGGCCATATCCAGACTACTATTGCGAACGGACGACATACAACCAGTAGGCGAATACGTGGGCGTACCGGTCATAGAGCAGCAGGAAGCAGCTCTTGAGGAACGTCAACATATCCAAGGAAGGCTATGGCGTGAGAAGCGTCGCAGATACAACCCACCGTGGGCCTGGCCGATAGAGGTCACGATTTTGCTACTCAGCCGTGCCTACTTGACGCGCCCAGGCCAGACAAGAGCGGGTATAGGACATCAGGCCCAGGACTACAATCAAGCGTCTTTTCTGGCCACCCTGAAGAAGTCTATCCGACAGCGACGGCTTCGATTGGATCAGCAATCGTGCTACGAGATCGCGCAGGCCTTCGTGCAGCTGGTTGCGCATGTACACACAGGAACTACCTGCACAGGCCTTCACGAGCCACGTCGGCGCGATTGGCAAGAAAGGGAAGTTCCCGACAGGACGCCCGACGTATGGCGTTCAGAATTGCGTTCGGCGGCTCAATTGTTTTGACCATGTTTGGCGGTTATATCTCCGTATCGGCATTCTTAAGTACGGCAGTCAATATGATCCACCTCCGTGGGCCTACGGAGGTATCTTTGCTCGTCGGCGAGAGGCGCTTATGGTACTGGTCAAGCTCATTATTTGGAAGCTTCGCTTCTCGCGTTTATCTTACTTGGCCAAGTCCTACGACATGCGCAGCGCCTTCGCCGCGGGCACGCATGAACGGCCGATAGCAGCGCGCGCCCTGAGATGCGAGGGCGAACATTTTCACCCGCTCCTCTCTCAGCGCCGCGAGCAGGCCGCAGCATGCATCCAGGCCTCGGACGCTAACCTCGCTCTTCGGCCAGGGACTCGAGGGGGGGGTGGGGGATTCGAGCGGGCCAGCATTATTCATGGGATCGTTCTACCCCCTGGTATCACAATGGGAGGCAGAGATGGCCGAAGCACAGGGTGGCCCGTTCGCTGTTGCGCGCCCTTTCACCTCGACGACCCACAAGGGTCACCTAGGGGCATTCGTCGACGACCTGTTTAAGATTATACTGATCCCTGACGGACGGGGCGGCACATCAAGCGATATTGCTCGGCATGATAGATAGCATTGCCCTCGCCCAGGCCTTCGCTTTCGGAGGCTACGCCCAGGGCGTAGGTAAGCAGGAGGCGCTTGCCCCATTGGGAACCCGAGCTGCCGCAAAGGCAGCCGAACGAAGAGTCTTGGGGAGGGCCCGGCAGGAGCTCATACACTTAGGCGGCTACGTCAGCGTCGCAAATAGCAACCTTCGTGAACTCGACGAACGTATTCACTCAGCAAGTGTGGGGCGGACACGCCGCGGGGGCTACTGGTTCTCTGGGGGCCCAGGGAAAAGTAAAATATTAGCATCCCCCTCAAGCGTAGCTGGGCGCGTGCGGTCAGGCCTGGAAAGCTATGTATCACGCCTGCGCGAAACCCGCCGCCTAGATAAAACGCTTGCACGTAAGCTTCGAGCCATGATGATGGGGAGGGGCACATCAGGTTGATGAACATGATACACATTTTTCCCTCGCCACACTTCAGCGTTCTCGAGAATGGCAAGTCGCTCCGACGGCCATCGGGTTGCCCGTGCGCAGGCTCAGGTGGTGACAGGGCGTTGCTGGCGACCGCAAGCATCACAGCCACTTTCTTGCAGTTTCCTTTGGCAGGTGCAGTTTCGAGAACGGCTCGCATGACGGACCTTGTGCTGGACCTGCCCTCACTATGCAGACCGCCACCGCCAGCTCGACGCACCCGTGGGCACTACAGCTAGCCGGCGATTTACAGCGCCTGGCCGAACACCCCATCGGACGAGCATCTGGGGAACTATGGCGGCCACCTGTGGTAGAAGCCCTTTGGGGGGATGGGGAGGTCCGTGACGCGTTCCGACAGTGCGACCCCCGAGCGTTGCGAGCGACCTGCTGGACTACGAGGTCCCCCCCCCCCCCCAGCTACCAGTAGGCTCTCCGAGGCCCTGCCGTCTGCCGAGCACGTTTAGACCGACAGCGACGCCGAGTACGACCGACCTTTCAAATGTAACATGAATGGGTGCTCGTCAAGGTTCGAAACTATCAAACGCCTGGTCTCACACCAAACGTTTTCGAAAGCGGACGGACATGGGCTTCCATCTATCCCCGCGTTATTGCAACTGGACAATACATGTATCGCATGCCACACCACATTTTCTAACCATGAACATGCTGTGCGACGTGGATTGCTGGACGCTGCATACATGACCTCACACACCATGAGTACCCATGGAAGGCATCTACGGCGACGACGTGTCCCCTATGTGAATGCGATCTGGATCCCGCATGTCACTATGACTATATGGATTCAGAAAAGGTACGAGCACATGTGTGTACCCCCCTCCCTGCGTCGCCATGTGGATCACGGCTCAAGGTTGTTTTCAGACGCGAGACCAGAGGGCCTCTGGCCGCATCGCCCGGAGGAGTCCCGCCTCCGCCATTCGCGCATCCAGTTAGCAGACCAATCCGTGCAGCGCGGGATACACCGGCCGCTCGACGGCAACTGCGACGAGCCACAGACCACCTGCTGCGGCGAAGTGCTGACATTGCGCTACCTGTGCCTGCGCGTAGACAACGAGTGCGACTTCAATCACGACGACCTATAGTGACGGGCAATACTGATACACCAGTGGCGCGGCCAGCATACGCGACATCGACACCCGCAATTCCCAGGCCTCCTCCACGGCTCGATGACGGGGGGAGCGGCAGCCAGCAGCAAAGACAATGGGCCAGCACGGGCACCTTGGTGCCTCCCTGTGGACTCCTCGAAGGACCCACAGGGATCTTGCAACGCATCCAAAGCAGGACAGCCGCCGTCAGCAAAGCCCAAGCTACCAGGCCTCCCCCCCCCCCCGCCACAACGACGCGGCCTGGAGGCCGAGGCAGCTCCTCGGCGCAAGCAACGCCGCGGAGGACGGAGGACGAGGCGAGGCAACCATTCGGAGAAGCAGTGGACGAGCAAAGACAAGCAACTCTTGTCGCTACTGAAGTCGACGCTGAAGCTGGTGCCCCAAACGGCTCAACGCACGAGACCCAACAGTTCCGTGACGACGGACACTTACACGTGCCCGAATACTCGCAAGGTGATTGACGCGGTGAGCAGCGAGCTGGAATGTCACCAGAACCACTTGGACCACCGACGCCACGGATCCGCGGAGGACAAGAAGAGGTTGAAGGAGACCGCCCCCCCCACATCCAGCCTAGGCCTGGCGGCCCTGGAAGGAGCACTCAGCTGCGACATCGGGGGGGGGGGGGGGGGGGGCGCTGCGCGGCGAGATCGAGGAATACTTGAGGAAGGCGAACCCCCCCGACGAGAAGATGGATCCAGACACCACGAAGGACGATCTCGCCGAGGAGATCAGCTTCATGCGGCTCGAGAACTGCTACGACACGGGGAAGATGGAACTTATCACTGGAGCCCCCGAATGGGGGGCAGGAGGTTGCTTATGAGAGCTGTCCGTTCAGAGGGCACGGTCACGCACCATCATGGAAGAGCGCCAGCGGGCTGGCTCGAGGACGAAGTCGGACATTGGCTGGAGACGCTCGACCACGAATAAATTTCGTGCGAGGTGAGGTCATACCTGGAACAATCACCGCCCGACCTCTGTCTGCATCCTCATCTGAGATCACTAGGCCTACGCCAGGCTTCCCCGCCCGCCCCCCAGCTGTAGACAGACCAGCGCCTGACACACAGCTACAGTCTTTCAATTCAGAGCCCCTCGATGAGGCTGATTTCGCCGCAGAGGAAGAAGCAGCCGAGTTTATGCAGCAACTGTAATCCCCCACTCGCTGGCATGCCGCTCCCTTATGAAGCGCCCAGAGAGTGTCGCTCCGTGCGGGGTCCACCGAGAGTTTCGTCTCTCTGCGACGGGCCATGTAGTTCTGACGATGAAACAAGTCATCTACTCTTAGCCCTAACGTCGAGGAGAAAATGTTGATGATGATGCTTGTGATGATGATGATGAGGATGGTGATGATGATGATGGTGATGATGATGATGATGGTGGTGATGATGATGATGATGATGATGATGATGATGATGATGATGATGATGATGATGATGATGATGATGATGCTGCTGCTGCTGATGATGGTGATGATGATGGTGACGGTGATGGTGATGGTGATGGTGATGGTGATGGTGATGGTGATGGTGATGATGGTGATGATGATGATGATGATGATGATGATGATGAGGATGATGAGGGGGAGGAGGAGGAGGAGGAGGATGAGGAGGAAGAGAGGAGGAAGGGGAGGAGGAGGGAGGAGGAGGAGGAGGAGGAGGAGGAGGAGGAGGAGGAGGAGGAAGAGAGGATGAAGAGGAGGAGGAGGAGGAGGTGGAGGTGGAGGAGGAGGACGAGGAGGAGGAGAGAGGCAGGGAATGGAAGGGAGGCAGGCAGCGATGCGGGGAGAGGCGGGGAGGGAGGTCAGGGAGGGAGGTCAAGGGAGACGGCCACTGTGGACGGGGGAGGGAGGGAGCCAGGATGCGGGAATTCGCACGGGGAGCACCAACGGCGCCCTCGAGGGCGCGAAGTTATTCGCGCTTCGCGGTTCGGCTCCGATTCCTCCTCATCCTTCTCTTCTCCCCTGGGAGGCGGCGCGAGAACGCGAAGTTATTCGCACTTCGCGCTTCGCGCAGCGCGAAGCGCGAAGCTGGGAGCCCTTGGAGCACCTTGCCTGCCGCCGTCCCCCGGTGCGAGGACTCCTTCGACATCCACCGGCCCATCCAGCAGCGTTTGGTCCGTCGCACGAACGAGAAGGCGCCCTCGTTCTCGTCCGCTCCGATCCCTGAGGTTGATCGGTGATTCAGGCTGTCTGCGTGTCTGTGCCGCTATGAGGCCTTCTGTGGCGTCCTTGTCGCCTCGGTTGGCTCCTCCTCGGCATGCTGATGACCATAACAAGGTGAGGTCCAGATGTTTGGTAGAATTATCGTTATACGATTTGGTTTGCAAAGTCGGATCTCAGGGACGTCGATTTATGCGCGGAACTTTCCACGTGTGGTTCTAATTTTGTCGCGTGCTTGATCGGGGGTCCGCAATTGTGTTTCACACCTGCCCCTTGATCCTCCTCCGCCCGCTGCTCCTTTTTTCAATGGCTGGCGATTCAAATTGTGGGAGCGTGCAGGGTAGGATGAGTGCGAGGAAAGAGAGTGGGAAGAGAAATAACACATGCAGCATGTGGGGGAGCAGGGAGCAGGACTATGACTACACGCAGTCACAGGAGGACCAATATTGGGATGATGAAGAGGCATGCTCCTCGGTCACTCCCCACGTGACTTCTCCTCCTCCTCGTCTTGCCCCGTGCGGCCGAGGTTGCACAGAGGTACTTAGTTGGAGGATCTGGACGCTTGCCCTCTTCTCGCCTTCTGATCAGCTTGCCTTCTTCTCGTCCCTTTCGGTAGAGTGTCCCTCCTCCTCGTCTTGCCCCCCCTCCACCCTCGTAGGTGCAGGCCTCACGCTCCGGGTTCTCTGGACCCCTCATCCCGTCGCGCCCCCCAGACTCATCACGTACTCCGCATCCAGGGGCTCCTGTTGATGCACGCACGGCCTGGGGGCTCTGCGCAAGAGCGTGCTCCCCCCTGCCACGAGGGCCGAAGGTGCCCTTCTCCGGCCCCCCCCCCCCCCCCCCAGCAGGGCAGGATGCGGATCTGATATTCGGGACGACCGACATGGGTACGGAAAGGATGGGTACCATGCCCAACAGCAGTTCTTGTGCACTTGGAACAGGACTCGCTGTCCACGCCGCCGCGGCCTGTGTCCATTTGAGACAGAGGGCCGCCTGCCCAACAGCGGCCGCTGTTGGTTTGGGACAACATTTGTTGTTGGGCATTGTACCCATTCTTTCCGTGCCCATTTCGGACGTCCAAAGATATTGATACCAGGGTGCTACTGTCGTGCCTTCCCTGCCCTCTCTCGTTCGATATCCCCCTCCTCCCCCGCCGGATTCACTCAGTCACCGACGCCCGCTGAGGATGGGGCCGCCCTGGGAACCGATGAAGGGCGGGGAGGCATGCGTGTTTCGCGTCCTCACACCTCCCTCCTTCCTTTCTTCCCGCCTGCGCCGGCCTACACGCATTCAGACCCGCGCAGGCTCGGATTCGTCATGCTACGAGCCATGCGCACAGACCCCACACGCACTGCTCATTCGCACTCAGAATCACCCACATTCAGATTCGCCCATGCTCATGTTGTTGCTCTGCTCGGGACGTTCCCTTGCGCAGTGGCCGCGCACTGGGCTTCCCAGGCATTCTACACCGCCTGGGTTTCCGTCCGTCCGTCATTGTGTCCTCATGCTCTCTGGCGCCGCGGTGCTCAGAGGGCTTTCATACCTGGGACGCGCCGGACGCTGCCACAATCGTTGTCGCCGTTGCCCAAGTCGGTGGCCCTGACGAGGGGGTGGCGGCGGCAGTTTCTTGTGCCCAAAGTCCACAAAGCATGAGGATGCAAGCCCGACTTGTTTGGTTGATGCTCTTTTCGGGGAGGGGGGCCCGTGCTTAGGGGGCGCTGCAGCACCGCTCAACGATGTGCTGTTTGACCAAACTTGCAGGGTGGGCCCTTCTCCCAAGTCCGTGCTTCGTTGCGGATCGTCTGCGCGTCTCGTCTCCGTCGTCACAGGCGTCGTCGTAGTCGTGGTGCGCGTCGCTTTGCTCGGGACGTGTTTCCTTTCATGCAGGGACGACTATCGTAACCCAGATCTCTCGTATTCCGACCACACGCGATCAGAGCCACCGACACTCAGGCTTTTCCATACTCAGAGTCGCTCGCCGTCAGACTCAACCACGCTCAGATTCACAATCACAGGCACACATGCAAGCTAGACTTGCCACGCACAGACCAGACAACTACCATTCAGATGTGCAGCGCGTACGTAGGCACCCCGAGGGGGAGCCGCCAGGGGGTGTAATACTTGCCCGCATCAAGCGAAACGGTGGTTTGGGCACCACATATTCCTTTCTTGCCACAGCCTCAGTGTCACCGCGACGCAGCAGCTCATCATCCGGGCACCCCAAGGGGGGGCCGCCAGGGCAACGTTCAGTCGACACAAGCTAAGACTCCCATTCGGAAGTCTAGACGCTTCGCGTAACCCCACCACTCATACCGCCCTCTGGACTTCTCCTTGCGGGCCGCGAATCAAAAAGTAACCCCACCAGCCCATCCAGAAACGATGCCCAGAGGAAGTGCTTCGCTCAGGCAAGTGGGCAGCACACCGAGGAAGGGTCCCCCAGTGGAGGCCTCTTGGAGCGTCTTGGGGGCCTCTTGGCGGTACCGGACGCCTCTTAGAGCGTCTTGGGTGCTTCGGAGAGCTTCTTGGGGCCTCGTGGGGGTCTCTTGGGGGCCTCTTGGAGGCCTCTGGGGCGCCTGTTGGGGCCTCCTGGGGCCTCCTGGGCGCCTCGTGGGACCCTCTTGAAGCACTCTTGGGAGCCTTGGGAGCGCTCTTGGAGCCCTCTGGGGCCATCTTGGAGTCATCGTGAAGCCTCGGATGGCCATCGGAAGCGAAAAGGCGAGAAAGCCCAACACATTGATTTTTTTCTGAGGTTTGGAAGGATTTGGGCCTCTTCGGGGCCTCCTGGGGGAGCCGCCGCCTCCGCGGCCGCCGCCGCCGCCACCCGCCGCCGCCGCCGCCGCTGTCCGCCCCTGCCGCCGCCACCGCTGCCGCCCGCCGCCGCCGCCGCCGCCGCCGCTGCCAAATCGCTGCCGCCGCAGCCGTTGCCGCCGCAGTCGCTGCCGCCACCGCTGCCGCCGCCGCCGCCGCCACCGCCGCCGCCGCCGCCGCCGCCGCCGCCGCCGCCCCCGCCGCCGCCACCGCCGCAGCCGCCGCAGCCGCTGCCCCCGCCGCAGCCGCCGCCGCCGCCGCCAAGTGTACTCTGTACTGTTTGTTGACAGGGATGGTGGGGGGGGGGAGGCCGCATCGGGTTTGCTGCGCATGTTCGGAATTTGGAGACAGAGTGTGTCTTGCATTGTGTTTTACAAGGGGTGGTCGGGGCAGAGTGTGTTTTGAATTGTTTTTGTACAAGGGATGGTGGGGGGGGCCCGCATTGACTTGGGTTGGCTCCCAGTCGCCTGGGGGAGGGGGTTTATACTAATAGGGAACAGTGATGAAACCCCTCCCCGACCTACGCCCAGAGGGCTGGTGGGATTCAGATGCACGCACGGAGACCTCTGCGTCGAATGTTTCATTGTTTGCATGCGAGTATGTTGGAGACTTCCATTGGTGAGAGGGTAAGGCCACGCGGGGTCATGCACGTACACGCGAAAGGGAGCGTTCATCTCATTGAAAGCATGAGGTAAAATGTAGTTCGAGGTTTCATGGAAGTCTTTTGAATGAATATGGGGGATCATTCGGGGTGGCTCAGGGGTTCGCGGAGGCTTGTTTGGTTTTGTAGTGGACAATTTGGGACCGCAGTGGAGTTTTGGGGCACCTTGGGTTGGGATGCATTTCGGTGGATATGCGTGTTGTTTGGCGTGCTGTCGGAGCTCAGTTGGGGCTCTCCCTGGGCCATATTGAGGCCTCAGGAGCTCATAGGAAACGAAAAATGGAGCAATCAACATGAATTGATACAGTGGAGTTGTTCAACGGATTTGAGAATGTTGGGGGCCCAATGAGGTCTGCGTTCGACCACCCTTGGCCGCCTGGGTCCATTGTTGGGACTTTCGAGGGGCGGCCTTGCGAGCATCTTGGGGCCTGCAGCCTGGGGATCCCAGGTCTTGTGCTGTTCTGGGGCACTGTGACGGCTCTCTTGGGCCTCTCCCAGGGCACTCTTGTGAGTCTTCCGACCGAGGGCATCGACGTCGGCGGGGAGAGATTGCCTCTAGCACGCTCACTTCTTCATCCGTATACGGTTGAGGTCTGTTAGTAGGTCGACCCTGCCAAATCAAATGTTCGCTGGTGTCCCGTGCATCGCGCCCCACATTTTTGCATTCCTATGGCAGTGTGGCCCTCGTATTTACGTAAATGTTTTGTGTCCTCTCGGGTGTCCTCTCTCCAGTCGACCTCGACCGTAGCCCACGTGTTACAGACGGAACAACCAGCGGGCACCAATGCGCTGGTGCTCTCCCTCGCTGTCCTGGGGCCGGGGCCCTCCCGAACCGTCCTCTTCAAGGCCAGCTCTCTGCACCGTGTGCCCCCGTCTGTCCTCGTCTGTCGTTCGTCCGTCGGTCGTGTCGGCTCTCTGACCTCTGCCCCTGGGCTCCTTTCGCGTCGGTGACGAAGCGTCTCACGAGCGGCAAACCTCCGTGTCCGCGCCCTCGCGGTCTGGATTCTGGGGCGCGATCCCGCGAAGACGCGGTCGCACCGAATAGTTCCGCGCGGGGCATCCGCGAACAAATTTGCTCCGCACCCGCGGGGTCGCGGCCCAGGGGCCCGGCCCGCGAGGCCGCGGATACGGATGTCTGTTTTTCTGCCCAGGAGTGTACGCGGAGTTCTCGGACTCATGAGGAGGATGAGGAGGAGGAGGTGGAGGAGGAGGAGGAGGAAGATGGTGCCCCCCTGGCCCCCCAGGGGTCTTCCACGCCGTGAGTCTCGCCCGGGGGCATCTTGGGAGGAGGAGGAGGAGGAGGAGGAGGAAGAGGAGGAGGACGAGGATGAACCCGTTCCAGAGTTAAGTCGGGCATGTCCTTCTACTGGAGGAATGTCCAAGATTAGTAAACAAATAGTCTGGGAACGATCCGTCGTGCTCGTTTGATCCTTTTGGAGTATTTGTGTGACCATGCTACAGTGTTCTCCCAAAATATGCCTGCAGGAGGATGCCCGACCTAAAGTCAGGACGAGGACGAGGATGAACCCGTTCCAGAGCGTTCTGGAGCGCTCTCAGAGCGCTGCGGAACGCTCTGAGAAGGCCGCGGCGCCCGAGACGACCCCAAGATCCGCTGGAGCTCGGAGATTCTCGACTTCTACTCGTCGGGTGTTATGAAGGGCTGGACCGAGACGCTGTGTTGCTGGACGTCGGCTGTGTTTTGTTTCTCGCTTTGGCAGGGAGGTCCAGGAAAACAGGTGGAGCCAGACGAACAACAGGACGAGCACAAAACGAACAACAGCGTTTGGGTCCAGCCCTGGTTTTATCCTCGCCCTGCCTCCGCCTCACAGCCAGGACGCTGAGATGAGGACCGCTTTGGGTTCGTAAGGGGCTCGAGGATGTGGAGCGTTCCTTAGATTTCTGTCGCGGGATCTGCCTGTGGCCCATAGGCCCTTCCGTGGCCAGAGAAGCTCCGGTGGTTCCTTCTTCGGTGTTTCTTCTGGTAGCGCCTCGACTGCACACCTGCTCTCGCCCGGCCGCCCGCAGGCGTGGCGGTTCACCGAGCACGGCAACAAGCTCGCGCGCAGCCTCAACGAGGAGTTCGCCCGGGACTCCGCGGCCACGGCGTGGGACCTGTGCGCCCCGCCGCCGTGCCCTCTTGGCTCCGGAAGGGGGAGAGGCGCGGCGCCACGCTCACCAGTCGATTACACCTGAGATTAGGTTGGGCGTGTCCTTACCCTGACCTTCCAGAGAGCTATTTTTTAGCACTGGAGTTCTAAAAACCTAAAAATCTAAACGAAACAGCCTAAAACCAAGACGTAGAATAGCTCTGGGATAGGTTTTTAGGTCGGGTGCTATTTTTTAGCCCTCCTGGAAGGTCAGGGTAGTGGGCCCCAGAAACGACAGGGCCTTTTTATACCGGTTCCGTTTTGCCACCGTTTTGCCGGTCCCGACGCCGCTTTCTTACCGGTGCCGGCGCCGTTTTTTGACCGGCTCCCGGCTCCGGCTCCAATCTTGGAGCCGTTTCTGTGCCGTTTCCGGTCGCCGTTTTTTGCCGTTTCCATTTTCAAAGGACATTTTTTGGGAAACGGTGCAAAAACGGTCCTGCCGTTTCCGGGGCCCACAAAGGGCGTGTCCTTCTAAAGGCGGATTTTGGACGAAAACTACAAAATACCCCAAAGCATGTTGAGCAAATATCCAAACATAGGCAGAAAGTCGTCCCCAGACTATTCTTGACTACTTTTGAACATGCCTCCTATGGAGGGACACGCCCGACATAGAGACCCAAGAGTGGCCCTTCGCCGGAGTGACTTTTGGTGAGGGCCCACTGGTGTCCCCCGATCGCCGAACGCGATGCGATGGTAGCGTCGTGCGCGCTTTTTGTTTGGTACCACCCTTGGCCCCGAGAAAGCCGCGCAGCATACCAGAGTCACACTTGCGTTCTATGCCTCCTAGATGGGGTCCGAGCATGTCGGTCGGAGGATTGCGCCGCATCGCCAATGCATCGGCCATGCATCGGCGATGCGGCTCGATGCGGAACCCGATTTTCATCACGCCGTCGTCGATGCGTCGCCGGCGTCGCTGGTGTATCGCCAGTGTATCGCCGAGTATCGGCGATGCGGCGGGATCCCCCGACCCCATCTACTCGGACCCCATCTGGGAGGCTTTATGCGTGTAGCCGAACCATGGGTGCCGCCTCCAGCGAGGAGTTTCACGATCCCTTCCCGAGCTACGGATGGTTCACGGGCGAAGAGCCCAGAAAGTACCATGTTCTTCCATCGGGGACGCCTGGCCCAGGGCGGCGCACGCCACCGCGGCGCCGAGCAGCCGCACCTGAGGCACGCCACCCTCGCTGGCCCCTGCATGGCCGCGTGCGACTGCCAGGCGCGACCGGCGAACAACGCGCGGGCGGCCTCGCCAGGCGGCGGCGGCGCCACGTCGCCTCCGCGGCCCCCTCGGCGGTTCGGGCGGCGCGCCGCAGCGCCGGCCGGCGACGGCGCGGCCGCTAGCGCCGTCCCTGGCCCGCCTTGCAGGGGCGGTTGGCGGAAAAGGCGCAGCCCGGCAGCAGTCCAGCGCCGCCGCACGCGCGGGCCGCTCTGCCCGCTGCTGCCGTGGTTCGCCTTCAGGGCGGCGAGCTCCACCGCCGCTGGCAGCCGCCGCGAAGCTGCGAGAGCCCGCAGCCGGCGGTCCCGCGCGGCGCGAAGCTCAGGCGGCGACCTCCGCGTCGCGGCGGCGGCGCCGGCCAAGAGGTCGGCCGCCGCGTTGCCTTCCCAGTCCTCGGCGCGGCCGCGGCGTCCAGGTGCGCCTTGGCCCAGCGCGCCGTTGGGGAGCCGCTGCGGCAGTGCGGCGCGATCGGGGCCCGGAGGCCAGAGCTGTTGCCACTCCACGCGGCACGTTCCAGCACGCGGCGCCGCGGCCCCGTTGCGGACGTAGCGCGAGTCCGTCGCCACGTTGATGGGCTGGCCCGCCTCGACGACCGCGCGCACAGCGGATTCCGATCCCGCCGTGCACGCACACTGGCCTGTCGATTTCCGCCGATCGAACTTTCCCGGCTCGGCTGCCGATTTCCGCCGATCCGATTCATGTCGATTTCCGATCCGACTTGTTGATTCGATTCCGGGCTCTCCCGCAGCTCACGCGCAGCCGCTCACAGAGGCGAGCGGCGGATAGCGAGATGGTTACGTGGGGTCTTCCGCGTCAAGACATGCAGTCCGCGGGTTCCAGGAGCTCTCGATCCCACTCGGGGGGGGCAGGCATTCGCCCCCCGATCGTTCTCTGCGTGACCGAGGCCGAAGCTCCTGTCCCCTCCCCTCCCGTCTTGTCAGAGTCATAGCCATCCCCATTCCTCAAATCCTTCCCCTCTATCCCGTTCCCCCATGACATTATTCCGCCTGCACGTCATCCTTCCTCTTCTTTCTTATTGTGCTCATTTCGTAAACTAATGTTGCTACTGTTTGGATCTGCGCGTATCCCCACCAACCCAGCCCCAGAAACGATGTCCAAGCGAGTTGCTATCATCAGGGAAGTGTGGGAACCAGCGGAACGAAGACGTGACGCAGCCGCCAGATCGAAGCCCCGGACCTGCTGTAGGAAACCCTGGAGTGAACCATCAATGCCCTCTCGGATCTTCTTATCTGAGGGCCCTTTGGCAACTCATTCGGCCTTTTTGGAATCCCTGCCATCGGTACAACAAGGAGGCGGTGTTTATTAAGTCTTCCGTCGCTTCACCGACAGGAATACACCATGTATCATTTATTGGTTCTCCACAGGCGTTGGGAAGGATTTCGTTCTAATGTTTCCTCCAGTCTCACGGAGTCACGCTCTCACTATTCGAAAACAAAACACGCGAGTATGAAGTATGAGCTTGGAGTTCATCGCTGCCAGGTGCAGAGCGTCCTGGTGTGTTGGAACGCTCGCCCTTCCCACGTCTTGGCATCAAAGCGGCAACGATTGGAATCTATACAATCTGGGCGCCCGGGGGCCTCGTCCGTTCCCCACAATTCTTCCCCGGGGGAGGGGGGCGGTACGGATGGCGCCGAGGGGTCGGACCCCACGGGGTCGCGCCCCGACTCGGGCGTCGTGCGTGGGATTCGTGCTTTCCTCCAGCACCCTGTCCTTCCTCCACTACTTCCTTTTATCATTCTTCTTCTTCTTCTTCCTCCTCTTCCCCCTCCTCCTCCTCCTCCTCCTCCTCCTCCTCCTCCTCCTCCTCCTCCTCCTCCTCTCCGTAGCCATTTTGGCTCAAGATGGCTTGCTTGGGAGGCTTTCAGCCTCCGAGCTTTCACGAGAGCTGCCGCTGCAGCACCCTCCAGTTTTCATCCATTACGGGGGTCCTCCGTTCTCCAGTGCGCGTTCAGCAGCTCCAGGCGGAGTGCGTATCTGGGGCGGAGGGTTCTCTAGCCCCCTCCGGCACCTCGCAGCCATGGCGCCGCCGTGGCACCGCTCCGAGCAGGCCTGCCCGTGGCGATGCAAGTGGTGCCGCCGCAAGGACGGGACGCCGTGGCGGCTGCGCGCGGATGAGCTCGTCTGCAACCAGTGCAGGCTTCACAAGAGCACCTGCTTCCTGGACAAGGTACCTGGCGCTGCTGCTCCTTCTAACTCTCGCCGTGGGGCTCCCACACCGAGCGAGGGGGAGAAGCGCATGGCCGCCCAGATCGCTGAGCTCTCCGCCCAGTTGGCAGCCCTGGGCGCCGGTGGTGGCACCCAAGGCGCCCCAAACGGCGGGGGTTCCGCCGACCCCCCCGAGAAGCAGCCTGCCGAGCGCCTCAAGGAGGTGGAGGCCGAGATCGCCTACATGGAGGCCCCGCAGCGCTGCAACATGTCGTGCTACAAGGGCCCCTTGGCGGAGCTGCGCGCTGAGCGCGAGGCCCTCCGCAAGAAGATGGTGGATGCCAAGCCTCTGGACATCCGCCAGCGCGACGTGGAGCAGAAGCTCGGCAAGGCCCGCAAGCGCATCGCTGCCTGCGAAGCCGCTTGCGAGCAGCTCGAGAAGGAGCGCCTGGCTCTCCAGGAGCGCGTGGAGAAGGCCGCGAAGGAGCTGGAGGACGCAAAGATCACCAAGCTCAACCTGGAGGCCGAGAAGGTGGGCCTTGCCAACAAGCTTCCCGTGGCGCCCGAGTTGGCCACTTCCCTGGGAGCCTTCCTGCCCACGGCCTCGTTCACGGTCGGCCAGCTGGGCGCCGTCCTTGAAGGGCTGGGCGCGGACTCCGACACAGTCAGCAAGATCCGCGAGCTCCAGGAGTCCAAGGCGGCTGCAGCCCTGGCGGCCGCAGAGGCCCAGGCGCGTGCTGCCAGCGCGCCGCCTGGCCATGGGAGCACCGCTGCTGCTCCTGCTGCTCCTGCTGAGCCTGTTGGTAAGCCTGATGCTGACGGGGACGATGCAATGGGCGAGCCGCAGTTCGCCTTCAACCTCGATGACCTTGACGACCTCGCCGACTTCATCCGCGCCGCTGGGCACAAGGACGTCTCGGTGCCCGAGAACCCGTCGAAAAAGCAGGCCCTCGAGCTTCGGAAGCGGGCGGAGGAGATCAACCGTGGCATGGCGGGCAGGTGGAAGCGCGTCAGGACTACAACCTCTCCGGCAACGGCTGCGACCACACCGGTACCGCAAGGGGCTGCTGGGTCTGGCGGCGAGGCCGCGGCCGCTCCAGCTGCTACGCGCTAGGCTTGGACGGCGCCTGCGTGCTGGCCCCGCGGGGAGCCCCAGGCTCATGGAGCACGGGCACACCCGCGCTGTCACGAGCGGAGCACACAGGGAGGCCGCCGACGGGCGGGTGGTCGATGCCCTTCCTAGTGTGTCCCTCTTTCCCGATCCCGCTGACGAGAGTCGGGATCCTCTCAAGCAGCTGCGCCTCGCCGAGGGCGTTCTGGGGGCGCTGGTCGGAGAGTGTACGGGAGCCCGAACAGCAGGAGTCGGAGTGCCCTGCGCGTCAGCCACTTCGAGACGAAGGCCTGATGGCCGAGGTGGTGTCGCGATCTTGTGGCTGATGCTGAGCCTCCTGACGAGACCAGCGGCGTCGGCAGCAGCGAGCAGCTCGGCGGGAGTCTGCATGGGCTGCCCCTGGATGCCTCTCGGCCCCTCCGGAGACTCCCAAATGGCCACCATCCCAGGCGCCCCTGGCGGCCTCGTGGGCGACCTGGCGGCCTCGCCGGCGTGCCCGGAACCCGACAGCTGGGAGCCGGGGGGGCTTGAGGAAACGGCGCTCTTGTTCCCCACATGATTCTGGCCGCCACCGCGAGCAGACGCGCCTCGCAGTACCTGGGGAGCGACTTCACGCTCCGCCCGTGCGAGACCAGGAGGCCTCGGTGGTCAAGTGCGCGGTGTGCACGGCGAACACTACTTCGCACGGGCCCATGTTCGACCACCTAGCACAGGTGAGCGAGCCCATCCGCGTGGTGGCCGTCCAGGAGCACCACATCGTGGAGGCGCATCTGGGCGAGATGCAGCGCCGCCTGAAGGACGTCGGCTGGCACGGCATCTGGTCGGCGGCGGTCGAGAGTGAGGCAGGAGGCTCGAGAGGTGGAGTGGCGATCCTGACGCCCAATTCCATCTCCATCAACGAGCCACCGGGACGTGGCGCCGTACTTGTGCCAGGCCGCGCGGTCGCTGCTGCAGTGCATTGGGGCGTGCCCCGAGGCCTGGTGTGCATCAGCCTGTACCTCGAAGACAAGATCGGCTTCACAGGCAGCAGCGTCGACACCATGTGGGAGGTGGCCTCCTACTGCGCGACGCTCAACTCCCTCGGCCTAGACTGCATGATCATGGGTGACTGGAACATGGCAGCTACGGGGGGCAACTTGCAGCAGATCTTTGCGGCGCTGCGCGCGACGACTCTTGCGCCTGCAGTGGCCACCTGTGTGCAGGCGGAGCTGGGATCTGTCATCGACTTCTTCGCGGTGTCCGCCAACTTGCTGACGAGGCTGGACCCCGAGCCGACGGTCGACCTGGCGGCAGACTTGTTTCCCCATCGGCCTGTTACTTTGGGGGTCCGCGGGTCCGATCGCGAAGTTTGGGTCCGTGTCGCCGATGAGCCGCAGCCTTTCGCGCCCATCCCTCCTATTGGTTGTGCAAGGCCGCCCTACGACTTCTCAGACGTCTCGGCGTCATCTACGTTAGCTACTGGAGCGGACGAGCTACCCGGCATCTGGGACCAGCTCCTGCATGGCATCGAGGCGGAGTTTTGCGGCCGATGGGACAAGACTGGTCCTGCCGCGGTTCGCCACTCAGGTCGTGCTGGGCCTCTGGAGCTGCGCTGGAAGAAGGTTAAATAGAAGCCTCAACGACGACGGCAGTACCGCGAGGCATCCACTCACAACTGGGCCGTCGCCAAGAGATGGATGGACCACCTGGCACGGCAGCGCGCCTTCATTATTGCCAAGGTGGACGTCATGAAGACTCCCAACCTTGGTCGCGAGGAGTTCGAAAAGACCTCCTCCCAGCTCCTCAACCTGCTGGAGGACGTGCACGCGTTCATGCGTGGGTGGGGCGCCCACCCCGAGGTGCTGCAGCTCATGGGCCCCACTGTGCTGAAGCACCTCTCGCAGGGCATAGCCTTCCTGGGCTCCAAGCACTTCGACTATGCCGTCGAGCGGGCGGTCGCTGCAGCCGCGGCCAGGTTACGTGAGGCGGACAACGCCTCCTACCAGGCATGGCAGGCCTGGTTGCGCGACGCCTTCGGCCGTGGGGCGTCGGGGGCACACAAGGCGTCCAAGGTGCGGCCGCAGCAAGACGTCATCCCGTACACCGAGGGCCACCAGCCTTACATGGAGGCGGACAGGGCCCTGGAGACCTGGCAGACCGCCGTCTGGGACTACCACCAGGCAGGGCCCGTCGAGCGGCCGCCAGATTTCTTCACTTGGGAGCTGCTGCCGCCAATCACGATTGCCGAGATGCGAGCGGCATGCTGGAGCTCGCCGGCTAAGACGGCCACTGGGCCAACGAGCCTCTGTCCTAAGTCGTTGGCTTTCCTCTCGGACGCTGGCTTGGGTGCCATGGCCAGGGTCTTCGAGTGCTGTGAGCGCTTGGGCGCCTGGCCTGACTCTAGGATTGCCGCCGAGCTCGTCCACCTCGGCAAACCCGATGGCGGCAAGAGGCTCATCGCGTTACTGCACAGCCTCACACGAGCATGGGGCCGCGCACGACGACCTCTTGGAGTGCAGTGGGAGCGTGACCACAACTCGGGGTCGGTCTGGGGCAACAGGGCCAACTACACCTCGAGCGACTGCGCCTTCGATTTGAGCCTGGCCCACGAGATGGCCACGCTGCTAGGAGAGCAAAGCATCGCTTACATGGTGGACCTGATGAAATGCTTCGACATGATAGCCTCGGCCCAACTGATGTACGAGGAGGAGTTGGTAGGCTTCCCCCGACGTTTGGCGTGGATGCTCATCGCACTGTATCGCCAGCCTCGGCGGATTCGAGTGGGTACCAGCCTCAGCATGGACGCCGTGGTGCACCAAGGGGTCCTGGCTGGATGCACCCATGCCCCAACCTTGCTTCTCGTGCTCACCTACAGGGTCATCCAGAGATTGTCTCAGAGGTGCGAGCAGGTTACACCGCGCCAGCTGATGGACGACAACACTTTGCACTTCGTTGGGGCTGCCACGGACAACGCGAATAGCCTCCAGGCTGCGGCCGTGGACTTTACGCAGTGCGTCTTCGGCCTGGGCCTCCGCGTCCAACCGCCCAAATCGGGCCTGATCTTCAACCGGGGTCGTTTCCAGCGGAAGTTTGCTGATAAGGCCCGGTTTTTGGGCTTGCCGCCACGGAAATGCATTCGTAATGTGGGCCATGATTTGTCGGGCCCTTCGTAATGGAAGGAGCAGGCTGACGCCAGGATTCGCGCTCTTCATTCGCGACGCCAGCGACTTCGCATGCTGCAGAAGGGCGCTGGGAACAAGGTGGCGACCCTATGGAGCACTGGGTTGTCGCCGTCGGTGCTCCATGGTGCAAGGGTCTCTGGAGTCGACGACGCTCGACTTCGACTGATTCGAGGTGCCGCTGCCAAGCTTGCTGGATGGTCTACCGGCGGCGGCGTGACGATCTACCTCGCCTCCCAGGCCAACGAGAGGTACGACCCATTTACGAGGCGTCGGTGCCGCTGGTGGTGCGCTGCGCTTCGTGGATCTGGGACAACCGCGCGCCCTCGGCGAGGCCGCAGCGCGCGTGGCAGGAGCTTGCCACCGAAATGCGAGCCCGACCTACTTGGACACTGGCCAGAGGACCGATCGCGGCCACGTGGCTGACGCTGCTACGCCTGGGCTGGGACATGGTGTCATCTACGATTGTTCGCTCGGACCTCGGCGCGCACTACAACCTGCTGCAGATATGCCCCGCTGACCTTCGCCACCATCTTCTTCTTGGCGCCCAGAGATGGCAGGGGCAGCGGATCGCCCATCACGTTCATGCTCCGCTTGCTGACGGGCGACTCTGGATGCGTGGCCTACGCCTTGGACTACGACGGCTGCCCCCGCGCCAGCTCGGCGCCATGCTGATGCTGTGGGCTGGCCGACTCGTCACGCCCGAGAGGCGCAAGGCGATCGAGGGGCATGGGGGCCCGAGGTGCCGAGCCTGCGGCGCCCCCGAAGGCACCTACGGGCACATGTGGTGCAAGTGCCCAGGCCTCCTGTTGACTCACAGATGGACGTTCGACGATGCCTTGCCGACATCGGCGAAGCCGATGGTCATGGGTCAGCCGAGTGCGCCTACGGCATCGCTGCCGTCCCGCGCGCTTTTGCCGTTGCGCCTGCTGCCGACTCGTTTCCTGTCCTGCTATGGGGAGATGCGGCTCCCGACCGCTGGGGGCCAGAAGCCTGCGCAGACGGCTCGGGCCTGGCCAGCGCCGCGCCAGAAGTTACCAGATGTGGGTACGGCGCGGTGCAGCTGAATGACGAGCTCCTTCCTGTGCGCGCTCTCTACGGCGCCCTCCCCGGCATTCAAGCAGTGGGGAGGGCCGAGAGGTATTGCGTTTTCAAGCTGTTGGAGCACACCCCTTGCCGCATCGAACACGTCGTCGCCGACTTGTCGTCGTTAGTGTCGGAGGGGTCGTCGTGGGATCGGTCGCTGGTGTCGGCGAGGGGTAAGCATGCACGAATCTGGCGTAATATGTTTAAGGTGCGGGGGCCCAGGGCCCCAGTTTCTCTTGGGTCCCCGCGCACAAGACCCTCCAGGATGCCATGGATCTCGGGATCCCTCTAAGGTGGTGGGTCGGCAGTATGTGGGCCGACTGGTTTGCGAAACTCGGGACCCACCAGCACGCTGTATCCCAAGGGTTCTGCGACTTCCTGGCCGCGGAGCTCAAACGGGCTCAGGAGCTGCTTAAATATGTGTCCTGGGCTGTAGTTAGGGCTCTGGAGTTGAACGCATGGCACGAGCAAAGCGCCTGCGTTAAGCCGGCGGTCTTGGCCCGCTCGAACGCCTTGGGCGTAGTGCGTCACGATTTGGTTTGGGTCGAGCCGCGCAACGAGTACCGCTGTAAGATGTGTGCATGCGTTGCCCGCACTGAAGGACACCTCTCGCACCTGCTGAATAGTAAGTGCGAGCCGTCTCCGACGGACAGGTGGTACGCGAGGCAGTTCTTCCTGCAAACGGGCTTGGTCCTCCACGATTTCCGTGGCCCGTTCCTGGGTGGTGAGGTTTCCTCGGCCATCGCTGCCGCTGACGGGGTCCTGGGGCCGCCGGCCCCCAGGGAGGTGGAGGACCAAGAAGCTCTGTTCGAGGTTTTCCGCGCGCTCGATCACAAGCCTTTCGCGCATGGGCGCGTTGTGATCTGCACGAAGTGTGGGGCATCCTGTACTGGGGATTTTGGCTGGGCTGGTCGGAGCGGCCTCAATTCGGCCTGCCTTGGGACCCCCAGGGAGCCTCGGGCCGTGGCCGTCCTCCACCCCAAAACAGGAGCCCCGATAATATAATTGTGAGCGCACTGCTGCAGGGCATGCTGCGCGCGCCCCGCGGCGCTGGATATAGAAGCTTTGTGCATTGAACGGTTTATTTTCGAGCTGAGCTCAACCTTTTCTGATGTCAGCTAGTTCCAGTTTTTTCTTCTGGTGCTTGACTGCTAGGCCCCGTGCCTCCTCCTCCTCCTCCTCCTCCTCCTCCCCGTCCTTTTCCTTCTCTTCCTCCGCCCTCCCTCATCCTCCTCATCCTTCTCCTCCTCCTCCACCTCCTCCTCTTCCTCCTCCTTCCGTCCGTCGAGGCTGTGTTGCAGCGCCGCGTCGCCCAGGAGAGGCCTGGGGCATCGTGCTGCGTCCTTTTCGTCGCCCTTGTTGCCCACGCTCGCGGTAGGGAGGATCTGGCCACCTATGCTCCTCCCGTTCTCCTTCCGTCTCCTCCTGCCCCCCTCCTCGCGCGCGCGCGGCAACGCGTATGCCGCGCCCGCCTCGCGAACCCCACCAGAGCCGTCTGGCCCGCCAGGGCCCCCCCTCCCGTCCGGACCAAGGGGCAACGGGCAGGAGGATGGGTAGACCTCTCCCCGAACAGAGATTTTCCGGAAGAGGGAAAACTCTGTGCGTCAAGCCAGCTCCGCCGGGGCGCGGGGTCTTCGGCGCAGTCGCCATGGTGCAGGCGACCAAGGTTGGGAAACACCGAGGGCTCTTGAGCGAAGTCGTCTTTGTGATCGCGACACGCCAGTTGAAGGCGACCATAGCCGTGAAGCGGTGCTCTTCTGCGAAGCCGTCGTGGTGGAAATGGCCGGGCGGAAATCAAGGAGATGCTCAGCAAGGACTTGAGCGCTTTCGTGAGGATTGCAACGGCGGTACGGCTACAGCGTCGTCGCCGGGTGGATCCCGAGCGTTGTGTTGTTCCAGAGCGCGGGGACATCTCCAGCACGAAGGACGGAATGTCCCGAGCTGTTTCCGGGGGACTCGGGGGGAGGAGGAGCGGTCTCTCCCCGGAGCCGACCCTGAGAACGACCTTCCCCTGCGTTCGGGGGGGATGGCGGAAGTTCCCTGGGGGCGCCTTTGGGCGCGTCTTGCTGTGCAAGCGAAGGGGGGGGGACCACCCCCCCTCGCTGGATGCCAGGCGTCGCCGACGCCTTTCCCGGTCCACCTGATCCACCTGCTTCCTCCAGGCCTTTCGCTCTCCTCTTTCCCTGTCTCCTCCTCCTCCTCCTCACGCTCCTCCGCCTCCTCCTCCTCCTCCTCCTGCTCCTGCTCCTCCGCCTCCTCCTCCTCCTCTCCTCCTGCTCCTCCTCCTCCTCCCCCTCCTCCTCCTCCTCCTCCTCCTCCCCTCCTCCTCCTCCTCCTCCTCCTCCTCCTCCTCCTCCTCCCTTCTCCTCCTCCTCCTCCTCCTCCTCCTCCTCCTCCGCCCCCTCCCCTTTCCGCCCTTCCGGTTTGTTGCCCTGCCTTCGGCCCCCGCGGCGCGCCGCCGCCGCCAGGTGGAGGCCCACCGGGCGGCACCAGCCCCCTTGGGAGAGGAGCCGCGGGGCCTACTTTCTGGACGCCCGACATGGGTACCGAAAGAATGGGTACAATGCCCAACAGCAGTTCCTGTTCGTTTTGAACAGGACTCGCTGTCCGCGCCGCCGCGGCCTGTGTCCATTCGAGACAGAAGGCCGCCTGCCAAACAGCGGCTGCTGTTGGTTTGGGACAACATTTGTTGTTGGGCATTGTACCCATTCTTTCGGTACCCCTTTCGGGCGTCCAAATACTTTCAAGTCGGGCGTGTCCCCTACAGGGGGATCTCCGACGACAAGAGCAAAATATTCGAAACATGCTCCAAACTTACTTCTTTTGGGTTTTACAAAATAGTCCTCAGATAAAATCCGCGGGGCCTATTTTTAAGTCGGGCGTGTCCCCTACAGGGGGATTTCCGACGAAGAAAGCTAAATATTCCAAGCGTATTCCAAAATGGTAGAATATTCAAAAATAGTCCCCAGACCATTTTTTAGATCATACTTTGGAATATTCCCCCTGTCGAGGGACACCGACTTAACGATATCCGCGGCGGGGCGGGGGCCGCCGAGGCGGCGGCCTCTGTCTGCCAGCCGCCCGCCCGGGGCTCGTTTCGCTTCTCCCGATTCGAATCGATTTCGATTTCGATGGCCTCCGATTCCGATCCCGATTCGACTTCGGGTTCCGGCTTGGGATCCGATTTCTCCGTGGAGGCTTGTCCGATCTCCGCCGATTCGACTTCTCCCGACTCGGCTGCCGATTTCCGCCGATCCGATTCATTTCGATCGCCGATCCGACTTATCGACTCGATTCTGGGCCCTCCTGACTCGGTAGCAAATCTTAGGAGGCTCGTGCCTTTTAGCAACTCCGCGTTTAAAATGCGTTAGCGTTGAGTAGCGTCTGGTAATCGATGATATAATATCGCCGATATGGCGTCGATTCGCGTCGATTCGCAAGAGCCAGCAAAATGTTATGGGCCGTGCGTTGCCGCAGAATGCGAACTGTGATTCATGTGCCTCTCTCCCTTTCTCTCTCACACTCCTGTTTCTCCTCGCACTTCACATGTGCCAGCTTCGGGACAAGGAGCTGCTCGTGTAGCATACTTCCTCGCTCCAGCGTGCCCGTCGCAACAGGTAAAACAGCAGTTCAACAGGTTCACGAATCTGCTGGTCGGGGGAGCATTCTGCTGCTCTCGGCGCGCAACGGCGGAGACCCCCCAAGAACAAAAACACAGCAGCGACCCAGTGGTGCATTGCTGCACTTCGCGCTATGCATTCGAGAGTACTCCCCGCTCGTTTTCATTAGATTCACCACGCCGGGTCGAGTTTGGGGGATCATTCCAAACGTGTGTTGCGCACCTTGCCGCAGGCTGACATTCTAATCTTACGGAGTATGGCACTACCTAGTGACAGCGTGTAGTTTGGGCTTTCTCAGGCCTGAATATTTCCCAAGCGCCAGAAACCACTAATTGAGCAGCTGCCCCCAAATCAGCACAGTTCAACCTTGTGTTGACTCGCTGCGTCCTCAAGTGTAATTGTTTTCAAGCATTGGTTGAGGAGCCTGGGTTGTGTGCCTTCGATGGTAAGTTCAGTGCGCCGTTGAAGCTTCAGAGGGCACATGGTCATACCAAACAACAAGGAAGAAACATCCTCTCCCTCCCTCTGAGGTTTGGCATTCATTGGAGGTGGAGGAGGATGAGGAGGAGTGATAGTGATGGGGGGGGACGATGATGATGATGGAGGATGAGGAGGAGCAGGAGGAGGACACGAAGCTGGAGTTTGCCGCAGTTGTAGTAGTAGTCGTAGTCGTAGTAGTCGTAGTAGTCGTAGTCGTAGTAGTAGTAGTAGTAGTAGTAGTAGTAGTAGTAGTAGTAGTAGTAGTAGTAGTAGTAGTAGTAGTAGTAGTAGTAGTAGTAGTAGTAGTAGTAGTAGTAGTAGTAGTAGTAGTAGTAGTAGTCGTCGTCGTCGTAGTAGTCGTAGTAGCAATAGTATTAGTAGCAGTAAGCAGTAGTAGTTAGTCGTAGTCGCAGCAGTAGTAGACAGTAGTAGTGTAGGGCAGTAGTCCGCCGTAGTAGTAGTAGTATTAGTAGTAGTAGTAGTAGTAGTAGTAGGTAGTAGTGGTAGTAGTAGTAGTAGCAGCAGTAGTAGAAGTAGTAGTTGTAGTAGTAGTAGTAGTAGTAGTAGTAGTAGTAGTAGTAGTAGTAGTAGTGGTAGTCGCAGTAGTAGCAGTAGTAGCAGTAGTAGTGGTAGTAGTAGTAGTAGTAGTAGTAGTAGTAGTAGTAGTAGTAGTAGTAGTAGTAGTAGTAGTAGTAGTAGTAGTAGTAGTAGTAGTAGTAGTCAATTGTGTATCCGTAGAGTAGTAGCAGAGTAGGAGTAGTAGTAGTATCAGTTAGTAGTATCAGTAGTAGTAGTAGTAGTAGTAGTCGTAGCTTAGTGAGTAGTAGTAGTAGTAGTAGTTAGAGTAGTAGTAGTAGTGTTAGTATTAGTAGTA